CTGCCACTGGCTAGAATGGTGTGTGTCTGGGGACACAGCCTGCCGGCTCCCTGTGGACGGCCCACCGCACCACCCGAAGGTGGGCTCCTGTGACTCACTGCTCTCCCTGGCACAGGGGACAATGCTGGGCACACAATAGGTGCTCGTGTTCCCGAATGAATGAACAAACGGAAGAACCTCAAACCCAGCTGCTTCCCAGCTCCTACAGGCTCAGCAACCCCGACCTGGGCAAGCAGGCTGACTGCGGGCAGGGGCACCTGAGCGGACCAAGACAGAGATCTTCCATCCTCTGGTTCACTCCCCAAATGCCTGCAACAGCCAGGGCTGGGCCAGGCTGAAGCCAGGAGCCCGGAGCTCCACCAGATCTTCCGTGTGGGTGGCAGGGGCCCAGTGACTTGAGCCATCACCTGCTGCCTCCCAGGATGCACATTAGCAGAAAGCTGGGATTGGGAGCAGAGGCAGGACTTGAACCTGGCACTTGGATGTGGGATGGGGGACCCAAGCGGCGGCTTATCCGCTGCCCCCAAGGCCCGCCCGTTTTCTGGATTCTGAGTCCCAGCGTTCAGCCATTTTTGGGGAGCAGTGCTGGAAGGCCTATCTGGGGGCCCCATGAGTGCAGACTGAGACACAGTGGGGAGACCAGCGGGGCTGACTCCCCGCCCCTCCGGCCCCCCCAGCTGGGGTGAGCTATTTAAATTCTGCATCCGCACTTACAGAGAAGAAGGCAGAAGTGCATGTTTAGGGGGCTCTCCATAGGCAGGAACCACTTTCCTCTGCACTCAGTTCTCAAGCTGAGCTGACAGACTCCCATTTTACAGTAAAGCAACTGAGGCCCAGCGGGGGGGGGGGGGGGAACAGGTCCAAGGTCACAGGGCTGGGAAGTGGCAGAGCCAGGATTTGAACCCATGGACTCTGGAGCCCAGCTCCTTAACCATCGAGCCACACTGCTGCTTTCCCTGCAGCTGCCAGGTCCCTTGGGGAGGGCCCGGTGACGTCACTGGCACCCCAAGGCTACCCCTCTTGTCGCTGAAGGAGTTCACTGCTCCGTCAGGCTGCAGGAGGTACTGGGCTCTTGACCTTGGGGGTGGGGTGGGGGCAGGAGGCAGGGTTGCCCTCCTGGACCACCCAGTGCCCAGCCTCAGAGAAGGGGCCGCATCTCTCTGGGGCAGTGGGGACAGCCACCCAGAGGAGGAGCCGGAACAGAAGAAGCCAAAGGAAAGATGCTGAGCTTGGTCCACCGGGCAAAGGGGCCTGCCTGCCTCCCCGCCACCCCCGCCCTCCGCCAGGGTCACTCTGTCGGTCCCCTGGGGATGTCAGAGGCTCTCCCCACCCCCTCTGTGACTGCAGGCCCCTGGGAAGGGCTGGGTGCAGGAGCCTTGGAAACCCGTAGGGCCCTTCCCGCCGCCCGCCTGCCAGCCGCCCTCCCTGGCTGCCGCAGAAGCTATAAAAAGCACAGCCTTCAACAATAGGTGACATCACCCAGCAGCAGCAAGAACCGGATTCTGCCAGCTGCCAGGGAGAGCTACGGCCCCCACCCATCCCTCAGGATGGAGGCTCCTGGGGACGGGTGCTCCACGGGACCTGGGGGCTGCAGGGTGGACTCTGGGGAGGCTGGGGGTGGGGGTGGGGCAGATCTGGGGACCCAGGCATGGATTTCACTAGGCTCTAGGGGATGTGGGAAAGGAGCCAGGGGAGTGTGGGGGTGGGGGACTTGTCGGACCCCTGCAGTGCCTCCAAATGTTCCCAGATAGGCGAGGGTGGCAAGAGAGGGGGGGGGGGCTGTGGCTGGGGCCCTGCCCAGCGCAGGGGTGGGGTATAGTGCTTGGCCCTTGTCTGTGCCGCTGGCCTCCCGCCTTTGCTCCGATGCCATCATGGGCGTGCAGTCAGTCGGCCATTCAGGCAGGAGTGGGCGGAGGGGAGAGCTTAGCAAGAGGCTGGAGCCTCGAGGTGCTTGGGTGGAGGCAAAGAGGCCGGCAGCCTCTGCCCCGGGGCCTGGCCAGGAAGGCCACCCCGTGGGAGCACAGGGTGTGGGATGGACCAGCTCTGTGTCCATTTCCTTTCCTGCAGGACGTGGGCCTCTGGCCAGCAGTCAGGAACCACGCCCAGGACCCAGGGCCCCTCTCGCCTCTGTGCACCCTTCTTCGGGGGGGGGTCTGGTGCACCAGTGCCAAGGGCCCTGCCCTCCCCCACCCCAGCTGACACCTGAGGGCTGGCGTGGGGCGGAGCTGCGGCTTCTGGGGGCAGCTGGCCAGATGGGCGGAGCCAGAGCTTTAAGCTCCTCTAGGATCCGGAGACATAACGGGCTGGTCTCTGGATCGCCTAGCCCTCTCCCTTCACCCCTTCTGGAGGCCCGCCCTCCCCGAATCTCCCCTTCTCAGCACTGATGTGCAGAGCAGTCCGTGTGTAGCTAACTCAGGGCCCGCCTCCTCCAAGAAGCTGGCCGGGACTCCTCCACGCCCCTGGGCCGGCTTCTCGATGCCTGGGAGCGCGCAGGTCTCCCGCATACCACACCCAGTGGGGTCCGGCTCACGCTGCGGCCCAGCCTCTCCTGCCTGCTGAGCCCCTGCCCACGGCTCCAGCGGCACAGATGTTCCGGAGCGGCACCTCGCACTCCCTCTGGGTCTCTGCCTATGCTGGGTCTTCCGGGACTCCCTTAATCCTTGTTCTGCCAGCCAGGGTCCTGCTTCTCCCAGGCCCAGCTCTCCCTAACCCTGGCTTCTCCTCTTTGCACCTTGCTCAAGACCCTTGGGTGCACAGCCCTTGGTTTGGCTTTGGGTGGATGCACTGCCCTGCCTCTCTGTGGGGGCTGTCCCCAGAGCAAGAGGAAGACTGGCAGGTGTTCATGAGGTGCCAGGCACCATGCTAGCCACAGGTTTCCTTGTCTAACGGATGAACAAAAGCGAGGCTCAGAGAGGTTAAGCAACACACCTTGGTCACACAGCTGCTAAACAGGAAGCTGAGATTCAGTCTGGGTCCACCACCTAATACAGGTGCACTGTCTTTGGGCTCCAGTCACCAGGAGGGGACATCACCAAAGAGAACGCTTGGTTCCAGGGCTTTCCTGCACACACCAAGGACGTCTTATTTAATGCTGGGGTTCTGGAGCAGAGGTGCCTTGCAGGTGGAGTTAAGTTACCAAATGAACTTGGCCGTGACTCACACGGAGGCAGGTGCAAACTTCGGAGGAGCTAAGGTGGCCAGCAATTCTGGGAGCCCTGGTCTAACCTTTCCCTGCCCTGTACCAATATGGACCCTGCTCTTCTCCGTCCAGCGGGGTCCCATGGGGAGACAGGAGACCCCAGGAAGGGCCTGAAGCTTCTGGCAGCACATGGCTCTGGAGCCAGCAGCCCCGCGTAAACCCTTGCTCCTCTCCTTCCTGGTCCTCAGCCCTGAGCCTGTCTCACAGAGCAGCCAGAAGTGCTAAGTACATGGAAGGTGCCCAGCCCAGAGCGGGTGGAGGAACGTGGTAAGAGACAGCTCCGCTTTTTAGGGGTGTCAGCTTCCTGCTGGTTGTGACAGTGATGAGCAGGCCAGGTCAGGGCCAGCTGTGGTCGTGCCCTCCTTGTGGGGCTCCCTGTGTCCAGGAGTGGACGGGCAGTGCCTCTGCCCACCTAGTGTTCTCACACACTGACCACTGAGCTCCCCAGCTCCTCCCAGCACGATCTGACTCCTTCCCTGCCCGAGAGGCAACTGACTGCGCTGCTCCCCTGGCTCCATCACCCCTCCTGGGCTCCACCATTCTGTAGCCCTGGTCTGCCTGGGTCCTGACCCCTGATGGCTGTCCTCTGGTCACTTGGGTTCTGGGGGGCCATCTGCACCGCCAGTTCTTGCTCTCTCTCTCTCTCTCTGCTCACATGGGCCCTGCCTTGGTCACTGCTGTCTCCAGCTGACGTGGTCCTTGTGACCATCAGCAGCAGGTGAGGCCCCCTCCACTCGACTGTGCCAGCTGACCTGACCCCTGCCTTGTGAACCGATGGGGACCGTGCTCTGTGGCTCTCTCACGTTCTTGGGGTACATAAGTTGGGCTACATGCATGCATTCATTCATTCACACATCTGCCTGTCTTTCTATCCATCCATCTATCCATCCACCCGTGATCCAAACATCTGCCTACCCGGTTGTTGTTCCTACCCTTCCTCTGATTATGTATCAACCACTCATCCATGGTGAGTGGTCCACCCTCTCCAGCATCTACGAGGTAGCAGATCCTGTACTGGGTTCAGAACTTAAAAGGCCATGGTCTCTGCTCTCAGAGGCTCATGGTCCAGCCTGGGAAGACGACAGACAGGAGCCCTGAAGTTCCTTCTGATCGCAGCATCCTGGGAGCTCCCCGGGGAGGCGCCTGTGGCCTGCCTTTGCCTGCGGCCGGCAGGGCCCGGGCTGATCTGCTTCCCCTGGGAACACCAGGCCCCCTCTTGCTAGCTCAGCGGAGACGCTGCAGTCCCCGAGGGCTTCCACGCTGCTGCTGCTGCTGCTGCTTGGGGCAGGGAGTGGGGACAGCAGGGGGCCCCTCTCCAGAAACCTGAAAGCCAAAGCCATCGCCCCTACTGAGAGAAGGGTGGCCAGGAAGCGCCCCCCAGCCCACTCTCCCCGGCTTCCTCCGCGGACACACGGAGCTCCAATTCAGAGCCACCGGTGTGGCTCCTTGGACAAGTCACAGGGATTCTCTCAGCCCAGTGTCCTTCCCCAGCACCTCCGGCTCACAGGGAGCACTTCCCTCCAGGGCCACCTTCTCACCCTTTGGGGGCGCAGGCGAGGGCTGAATCACACATTTTAATTTTTGGTTTCAATTCTCACTTCCCAAATCAACACCTGCAGACGCAATCACACCGAAGGCACAGACCTGTCAAATACTCCATGGATTTGCTCCCACCCTGCTTCTTGGACTCCCTTCCTATCCCGGGGGCCACCTGGAGGGGTGAGGAAGAGGAAGGCAGGAGGGCCTGGGCAGGGGGGTATGAAGGGAGGCCTCCGGGAGGAGGAGGGACACTTGCACTCACCGACGTGTCCTCGGAGCACGAGGCGATGACGGTGTCGATGAAGGGGTTCCATTTGATGTCCAGCACGTTGCCTTGATGGCCACAGACCTTGGGGTAGTTGGGCTCAATCCTGCCGGTCTGCAGAGGGGAGGGAGGGGGTTAATGTGGTGGCCCTGGGGTGGCCCTGAAAGCACAGCCCTCTTTCCTGGGCTTCTCAGCCAGGGTGGGGCCCTCCGGAGCTCCTGCCTCGTCCCCCCGCCCCCCGCCACCTGCTCCGTCAGGTGGCCACAGCAGGTTTCCCAGCAGCCTCGAGCCCAAGTTGGGCCCTTGACCATTGCGGGGCACTGAGGCAGGTGTTTAGGTTGTTGTCCGAAACACCGAGAAACTGGCCCCAGCCCCGAGCCCAACTCCCTACATAGAGGCTGAGGCTGTCCCCCGGGGACACCACCCCTGCTCTCCCATGGCCCCGGGGCAAGGCTGTGCCCGCCCCCTTGGCACGCTCCAGCTCATCACCCTGGCCCTCAGGGCTTCTCTCTTTGGGATGCCCCCTGGCCTCATGGACCCTGGCTCAGGGCACTCCCCGTGGGAATTCCTTTGCTACCCCCAGGGCAACCCCAGTGTGGAGTTGGCAAAACAACTGGACTGGCAGGTCCTGGAGGACCCACCGATGTTATGCGTTTTTCAGGTTCCTGCTGAGCCAACTGCTCTGAGGCCGCGTGGGCCTCCTGCTTGGCTTGATGGCAGAGCGGGCCCGTGGCAGGTCCCCACAACCCCCTTCTGTGCGAGGGAGGAAAAGGTGCCTCTACCTCTAGTAGTAGCATTTCCAGCGAGGACGTCACCACCCACGGAAACAACCACTGCGTGGTGGGCAGCACAGGCCTCCCCCTCCCATGCACACGCACCTGCTGTTCCAGCTGCCCACACCCCACCCCCCACCCCGGCCACTTTATTCATTTTAAGACTTATTTTTTTTTTAAGGCAGAGTCTCACACACACACACACACACACACACACACACGGAGCGAATGAGACGGGGGGGGGGGTCTTCCATCTGCTGGTTCACTCCCATTTGGCTGTAACGGGCTGGGCCAGAAGCCGGGAGCTTCATCCGGGTCTCACACGTGGGCGGCAGGGGCCCACTTATGCCATCTTTCACTGCTTTCCCAGGTGTACTAGCAGGGAGCTGGATTGGAAGCGAAGCAGCCGGGACATAAATTGGCGCCCATATGGGAAGCCAGTGTCACGCATGGCTGCTTTACCTGCTACGCCACAGTGCCAGCCCCAATCCACTGGTTTAATCCCGCAGGGAGTCCAGGAACTGAGCGAGAGCCACCTGGCTCCCGGCTCTGTGCACTATGAACAATCCACTTCTTTCTCCCGCCAGCCCAGGGTCAGGGATGGCCTGGCGCTGGGCGAGCGGACCCAGTTTTGAGGGTCCTGTCCCACCTACTTCTTAGCATCACTGTGAAAATCAAAAAAGCTGACGTGCTTAGCTTTACACAACACTTAGTGTAAAGATCATCACCAGGGTGATACCAGCGTATTTGACAGAGCTTGCTAGTACCACTCAGATGTCACCTCCTCCAAGAAGTCTTCCCCAGTGCCTCCCCTGTGTTATCCCAGCATTCCGTGTGTCCCTCTGTGTGAGCAACCAGGGACCGGCTCTGTGTCTCTATTCCTCACGGGCCTGACACACAGCAGGTGCACAGCAGAGGCCCTGTGACATCGTGGGAGGGGAAAGGCTGAACAAGGGGTGCGTGCGTGTGGGGGTGACAGAGCTACAAAGGCAGCAGGGCAGGGAGGGGGCTAGAGGCAGAAGCTGGGCCTCCATCCTTCCAGGCTTTTGAGCGAGAGCTTTTTGGGGTATGAGGTTGGCATTGGAGGGGAGAAGGCCAGCAGCTACTGCCTGCACCGCCCACAGGTGCCTCGGGGAATCACCAGGAGCGAGGGGACCACCGCTGCCGGCCCCGGTACTGCGCCTGGCACTTCCCTGGGCGACAGCAGTTCCAGAGCAGGAATCCTGCTCTTAACCTCTGCCCACTTCCTGCCGCCTCTCCGTCAGCTCCTTCTCAGATCTTCCCATCTTTATTATTTTATTTAAATTTATTTATTTGAAGGGCCGAGAGAGAGAGAGAGATCTTGCATCTGCTGGTTCACTCCCCAAATGACGGCAATGGCTAGAGCTGGGCTAGGCCAAAGTCAAAAGCCAGGAACTCCATCCGGGTCTCCCAAGTGTGCGACAGGGGCTGAAGCGCTCAGGTCATCTTCTGCCTTTCCAGGCGCATTGGCAGGGAGCCGGATTGGAGGCGGTATAGTTGAGATGGGAACTAGCGCTCCGTTATGGGATGCGGGAGTCTCAAGCGGTAGCTGCTTCTGTTGTATCACAGTGCCAGCCCCTCATGTCTTTTGAGACATAGTAATAATGTTATTTTGAATTTTCTTTTTTTTTTTTTAAAGATTTATTTGAAAGGCAGAGTTACAAAGAGAGATGAGAGATAGAGATAGATTGATAGATAGATAGAGAAAATATCTTCCCTCTGCTGGTTCACTCCCCAAATGGCTGCAACAGCCAGGGCTGGGCCAGGCTAAAGCCAGGAGCCAGGAGCTTCTTTCGGGTCTCTCACGTGGGTGCAGGGGCCCAAGCACGTGGGCCATCTGCTGCTGCCCTACCAGGCACATTAGCAGGGAGCTGGATCAGAAGTGGAGCCACCAGGACTGAACCAGTGTCCATATGGGATGCTGGTGCTGCAGGCTGCAGCTTACCCTCCTTTGCTATGGCACCAGCCCCTATTGTTAATTTTCATAAAAACATGCAATTTAGGCCCAAAGTGAGGCAGCTACAGGCACAGTCACCCAGGTGTGACTCCTCCAGGTGAGCTTTTTGCACCTTACCGCTCCCGGTGGCCAGCCCCGCTCCCGCAGCCCCACCTGCTTCCATCGCTCACGCGTCTTCTGCCAGCGCCCGGCTCCTTCCATCCGATCGCAAAGGCTGTACTTGCAAAGCTTTGCACCAAGCTCTTGGCACCCAGCCCAGCCCAAGCAAACCGGAGGAACACCCAAGCAGTCTGTAGGTGGCCATCCGCTGCAGGAGCATCCAGCCAGCAGCGCGCGTGGGAGGTGGCGCTGGCGGGACAGGCTGGGCACTGTCACAGCAACCAACTCAGATGGCAGAGGGAACCCAGGCAGAGCGGGCAGAGGCCAGAGCCCCGCAGCACGGAGGGAACCGGCCCTCGGGAGCCCAGCAGGGTCCTGAGGGCATGCTGGCTTGCAGGGGGCCTCTGTACACAGCGCGGGCCTCCCCCGTGGGGTGGGTAAGTAAGACTTCCGTGACTGAAGCCTCCCGAGGTGGCAGCGCCCGCACCGCGCGCTCCGCATGGCAGCCCCGGAGGAAAGGAGCCCCCTTTTCCACCCCACAGCTTTCATTTTCCTGTTCGTGTGCTCGGCGTCCACAGCAATTTTGTTTGAAAGATGAGTTCTGTTGCTAAAAAGGGATGTGTGAAAACCACTTTCTGTTTAACGTTTTTATTTATTTATTTGACAGGCAGAGAGAGCGAGAGAGCGCGAGCGAGAGTGAGCGAGAAAGAGCTCCTGTCCACGGGTTCACTCCCCAAACGCCCCATCCCAGCTTCTGGGGCATGAAAAGGAGATGTTGCCAAAGGCAGGCTTGGAAGAGACTTGGTGAGGCAGTCTGTAGTGCAGTGGGTAAAGCCGCACCTGCTGTATGGGCATCCCATATGGGTGGCGGTTCAAGTCCTGACTGCTCCACTTCCGATCCAGCTCCCTGGATGGCCTGGGAAAGCAGCAGAAGATGGCCCAAGTCCTTGGAACCCTGCACCTGCGTGGGAGACCTGGGTGGATTTCCAGACTCCTGACTTTGGGCTGGCCCAGCCCTGGCTGTTGGGGTCATTTGGGGAGTGAGCCAGTGGATGGAAGATCTCTCTCTCTATCTTTCTCTCTCCTTTTCTTTATGCCCCCGTCTTTCAAATAAATAAATCTTTTTTTTTTTCAAAAAAGAAAAGATTTGCCTGCTCAGCACTATACAGTATCTCTGCTAAACAGCTGGAACACACTTAACCAACCTCCAGAACACAGAGAGTAGTTAAAGAATTATGAAGTGATGAATTATTAATATTTAGTGGCCCTGTTTTTGCGATAATCTAGTTACACGTATGTTAATATGATTTAATTTTAAATCATGGCCATCTTTAACCACTGGCCTGCAAAACTCCTGAGAATTTAAGAAGAAGCTCCCGTGAGCAGGTACAGCTGACTCCAGCACACCCCAGCACAAGCTGACTGTAGCACCGGCATCCTATATGGATGCTAGTTCGAGTCCTGGCTGCTCCACTTCTGATCCATCTCCCTGCTATGGCCTGGGAAAGCAGTGGAAGATGGCCCAAGTCCTTGGGCTCCTGCACCCCTGTGGGAGACTCGTAAGACGCTCCTGGCTCCTGGCCTTGGCCTGGCCATGGGCTTTGTGGTTCTATTAGACTTCATGAGCTCTGCATGCTATTTTGAGAGAGATAAAAATTAAAGAACAGCAGGTTAAGCCGCTGCCTGTGACATCGCATCTGAATCAGCACCGGATCAAGCCCCAGCTGCCTTGCTCCCAGCCCTGCTCCCTGCTAATGTTCCTGGGAGGCAGCAGAAGATGGCCTAAGCACCTGCGCCCTGCCACACACGTGGGAGGCTCGGCTGGCCCAGCCCCAACCGATGCAGCTGTGAGTGAACCAGCAGATGGAAGGTCTCTGTCTTTCTCCGCCTCTCCTCCCCCTCTCTCCGTCACTCTACCTTTCAAATAAATAAAATAAATTATAGAAAACGAAATCACATTTTCAAAGAGTAGTTCCTGCCATATCGATGGCTAAAGCTCTAATGGCTAGTGAAACAGAACCAAGTTAGATACATATTAAATTATCAATAATTTAATTATTAAATTAAATGTACATAATTAAGGTAATCGCTAACTTAGTAATTAAATTAAATTAAAATTAAGATTGTGTATTAAAAACACACCATCTTCAAAAAGCCACATCAGAAAGTTACTGGCGGCCACCATTGGCTACTGTGTATTATTAGTGGCCTGATCTTCTGTAATGAACGCTTTGATCTGTCATTTAAAAGATAGATGGGGGCTG